TGGGATCTGATCCGTAGGATTGGAGGTTCCACCCAACCGGCGCCGTAGGTACCGGGCTAACCAGAATCATGGTCGTAGGTAGTGGTTCTGATGTCATAGAATAGACTTTGAGTTATGGCCGTAGGTAGTGGCTCTAAGTCTTAAGGTAAGAATGTGGATAATGAGTAATTGGCCTTAGCCTAGAATAGGTTATGAGCTAGTGTTGGATATGAGTTAATGTAATGACTTGAATATTGTGATAGTGACATTTGCAGGTGCAGGGTAAGTAACATATTGTGTGAATTGTTGATATTGTTATGTGATATTATTATGTTGTACTTATGTGCATGATATTGTATGAAGTTATGAGCTAGTGGGTTCGTCTATGTGCGTAGTCGAACGTTAGATAGTTCCACTCAACTTCATTGCTGAGCGTGTAACCCTTTTTCCTATTTGCTACACGTAGGTAACAGGAATGATGAATAAAGGACTATTCTGGAGGCAGCGAGGGCAAAGAGATGGATGGATGCTAGCTGGAGGAGTTTATTATTTAATATTTAAGTTTGAATTATTATATTATTAAGGGCAAGAACCCAAGGTTGTATTTTGATTAAGTACTTAAAGGCTTCCGCACCGTTTTGATTTACTCTGATGGATATTTAAATATTGTTTTGAAGTAAATGTTTTAAATTGTTTTGGAAATTATTGCGTATGAATGCCAATTTAGTAGCAACCCGATCCGCTGGTCCTTGTATTCGGGCCACGTGGGTTGGGGTGTTACAGGTCGATAATTTACACCATCAACTACAGTGCAAAATCCTATTTCAGAAAAAAATATGAAAGTCCTATTTTAGTACTTTTCTCTATGTTTTAGTATTATTTAGGTTGATTTTTATAAATATATTAACAATTAAAATATTATATTTGATGGGAATTAGCCCAATAACTATGGCGGTGATGAGCGTATGATAATTGATAATTAATAAATCTCACAATATTTCTATTAATCACTGTGTTCCGGTGTTTTTCACTTGCCTTATAATGGAGGGTTCTCCCTGTATTAATATTACCTACGGTTACATACATAATGGGCACTCATTATGCGCACAGTTCTCGCCATTACTGCTCTCCCATCAATCGTGGTGGTTCACCATATTTCCCTTAATCTTTCCACGTCCTTGCACAATTTAGGGTCTTTACTTTACGCTTAGGCCAATTAACTAGAATCTGGGCCTTTCCCGACACCGGCCCAAATCGCTCCTGCGATTTAGCCGTTCATTTGCGTTCTCTGAGCCCGAATATCCATCAATATTAAAAACCATAAAAAGTTAAATGGAGAAAACCAACTTGACCGGAGGCTAGGGAATAGTACATAATTCATTCCTCGCAAATAAAGCTCTTCTATTTTTATGATATTTGGAAAGATAAAATTAATTAGTTCAGAGTTAAGATGAGAAAAAAATGAATATTGTTAATCATGTACTCCCTCTGTCTCAAAATGTAAGCAAGAGTTATTATTTCGGTCTTTCGATAACTTTTGTTTGCTTACTCGTTTTGGTTGATCATTTGATAAAATAAAATATTCTTGTCGCATCTTATTTTGTAGAAGTTTTGATCTATTTTTCAACGATCTAATTTTTACTTTTTTTCTATCAATTTGTAAATAAAATAATTTTAAAAAAGATGATATTTTGCACGTCGTTCGAAATGTTGCTTAGGTGACGGAGGGAGTAATATTTTTCGTACAAAGAAGGGAAAATTTAGGATTAAGCTATGTGTACCCCAAGATTTGTACCCCAATTTGTACTTTGCAGGTTTGCACATTCATTTTGTGTTAGTGTAATGCTAGGGTGATAGTTCACACAGGCACAAAATGTTAGTGCAATTTTTTATTAACCCACCAGAATTTTGTGTCAGTGTAAACAAGAAAAATGTTAGTCTAGACCTTTGGTATAGCTTTGGGGTATAATTTTTGGTCAAAGTGTAGCATGGTTGAAAAAATTATATTGAAACCGTGGTTTGCCCAATTCATGTCTGCCAAACTATTTTTTTCTCTTTTTGCTTTCTATATCAGGCTGTTGGGTGGGGTATTTCTTATCCGTCACCATACCCATTGGCCAGCCATTTCATCTCATTTACTAGTGTGGATCATTTTTTTTAATATTACTCCGTATTTTAGAATATTTCATTGAATTTTTTAAATTAAACTAAAAAAAAATTAAAACTGAAATTAAGAACTAAAATTAGAAACATAAACAATTAAAACTAAATCCGGAAGAAGAAGAAGATCGGCGTTTTGAATGGTATGTTGTTTAAGAATGAGTACTAGGTTATATGGGAATGAGTACTATTGCGTTTTAGAATGAATATTACGTTATTGGTAAATGAATATTGAACAAATGTGTCAAAATGAGTATAATGTAATTTCAGAATGAGTACTGCGTTATTTCAAAATGAGTACCGCGCTTTTTCAATTGAACTTTATGCTTGTGCGAGAATGAATACTACTTTACTTTGAAATAAGTACTACACGGATGTACTTATCTCTAGTGATGGTGTAAATTACTTGACCGGTCAAACTATACCAGACCGGGTCTAGAATAGTTTGCTTGATTTGGTAAAGTAAGAAATGTAAAAACACGCAGATTGACCGGTAGGACTTTAGGTGGAACACCTGTAGCCCAATTTATATTATAACGGAGAATGCACGGGTGCTTTTACAAGGGAGTTTAGAGAGAGTGAATTCGAATCCTTCTTTCTGAGGTTTACAAGAGGTATATATACTAAGCTGGGGGACAGTACCATGTGCGCCCACGTGGGGGCATGCTGCCGATGTGGTGCGAGATGACTGTCCCTGAGCTGCCTTGTCATCTTGCGAGGGGGATAACTTCCCTTGTCGCGTTCTGGCTTGGAAATATTCCTCTAGCATCTCCACTGAGTCCCCAGCAATGCCAATCACTACAGTCCAAGTCCTTTTGGATTCTTCCTGCCGACACTTTCGAATCATTAAAAACCGCACCGGTTGGTTCTTGAGGGTTGATTAGCTAGCTTCGAAGGATGGATTTAGACGATAGAAAAGTTTGACCGGTATACTATCTGAAGTGTACCGGTCAACCTTTTGGTCAACCATCTATCCCCTTCGCCGACGATTCAGGTCCTCTACTCAAGTTTGACCTCTTTGACCAGTCAACTATTTGGTTCCGTCCTTTGACCGGTCATGGGTGAGATACACCCATCAATAAGCCCTCCACTTCTCGGTTATGCAATTTTGTCATAAGCGGGAAGTAAAAATCTGAAACAGGAATTTTAATTTCGAATTTCAGCTTTTCCCGCCTAGGGATTTCAAAATTTGAATTTCAAAATTTGAATCCAGACACGTGTCTCGCCTCAACTATCCGTTCTGAACCGCTGTCAGCCCGTCCGTTCGTCTTCCCATGCGCCATCATTGCGCCGCCTGACGCGGCGCGCCCTCGAGTGGCCACGTCGCCCGTTCCCTTCCTTCCTCGCCTATATAAAGATCTCCACCCCATTCATTTCTTCACTTCTTCTCGTGCGTCTCTTGAGTTTCACCGGTCAAGCTCCTCTCTCTTGTCTCCCAGCCCTCCGAGCCAAGTAAGCTCCTTTCTCTTCTTTATTAACTCTTAGTTTTCGTTCCCGATCAATGTCTTCTTCTGATAGTCAGGGTATTTCTTCCTCGGATGCCTACGCATCCGAGGAATCCTCAACCTCCTCTTCTTCGACCGAGTCTTCTCTATCCGGTTTCGAAACCCGGTCGGGCCCCAACACCACCGTCCCTGAACCGCAGCCTATTAACCAAATGCCCGGTCAGGTTTTTCAGGAGAGGGATGAACCGGTTGACGATGAGCCGGCTCCCTATTGTTGAAACACGGGTTTATCGTGTTTTCGTACTAAAGCCGTGTTTGTTTTTATGACAGGTTTTGATAATGCCAAACCGCCGTGAACGAGACAAGCTGTTAAATATACAAGGCAAGAAATAAGTATAAGAAGAAAGCAAGAGAACAAGAGCTAAAAGAGACAAAGAACGAAGACCTTAGACTTAGCATCGTTGAGTCGGTCTTTATTGTGATCAAGACCGACCCAATCTTTACACCTTGGCTCTTTAGGCTAAAATCCTTCATTGCATTTCTTACATCATAAAAATGTTTTTCAAACTTGTTTAAGTCATTAAAAACACTTGGTGTTCGCCCAAACCAAAAACCAAGCCATCCAGCGTTCGGGCTTCAGAAACCAGCGTTCGGCTCTCGGTTATCGGCATTGGTTTTTGGCGTCCGAACCAACCGAGTGGTTTTCAACTTTTTATGATTGGTTTTCACTCTTTGGCATGTTTAAACGGTTCTCCAACAAAAACACTTCGAAAACCATCTTTCGCTTTTGGCCGTTTGACAAAAATCATTCAAAACAGCATAAACTTGGCTAGCCGTGGTTTTCACTCAAATGACGTGGTTTTTAAAGTGTCTCACTTGATTTCTTAGACAAATACATCAAATAAGTGTTTTAAACACTTGGTTTATATTTTGGAGAACTTTGGATTTTTCGGTCGGTTTTTGCATCGGTTGGCTAGGCCGTGGTTAAGGCAAAAACCATGGGTTCTTGACTAACCACCCACCCAGCGATGGGAAGATCTTCCCATCGATGGGTAAGCGGTCCCTTAGCCAAACCAATTTCCAGAACCATGCCAAACAGCGATGGGAAGTTCTACCCATCGATGTTAAAGCCTTGGTGCAACATTACCACAAGGCAGAATGCCTTTACCCAGCGATGGGAAGATTTACCCATCGATGGGAACCCAGCGATGGGAAGGCTTAAACATCGATGGGAAGGCATGACCGTTGGGAGTCATTTAAAGCTAATTCTTTCCTTATTTGAAAGTCAACCTCCCACCCAGCGATGGGAAGC